CATTTACTAACCACTTTTTCTTCCTCCTTGAAACTGCTTTTTCTCATATTGCTACTTTAAAAATATTTACTTTATTGTTTCAAAAATGGTAAGTAAATAGAAGTAATATAAAGTATTGAAAATCTCATTACCCACTATTTTTATTTTGTTGTCCATTTTCTACCTTTCACAAACACACATACATAACTTAGTAATACATGCTATGTATGCATAATTTTCATCTTTTACTTCAACACACATATTGTGCACTTCTTTATATGACATTATGTTTTTTAAAACGTGATTTTTAAATCACAGAATAGTATTCAACTTTATTGATTTGCTATATTTTATTGACTAAAATTCCCATAGTGTTAAACATTGGTTTTCAAAATTTTATTTTTATAAACAATATTGAGGTAAACGAACATCTTTGTAGTTAAATTGTGTGCACATTTGTAGTTTTTCTTTATACATATGGAATATTATTTTCTTAGAAATTCTTGAGCTGTTTCAGAATAAAGAATATCCCTGAGTTATCTTAACTGAAATTGTCTATTCTTCATGTCATAGGGGTTATTTTCTTTCTCTCTTTTTTTGAGTGCCAAGAATCACTTTATTGCATGAGTTTAGAGGTTTGGAGTGCTGGGGAGCCTGGAGAGGGAACACACAGCAGGCTCCATCCAAGCGAGAGGCTCGGGGACTGGAGCTGGGACACGACCCCCAGTGGGGGAGGCCCAGGTGGTGGCAGCAGCTGCTGCCTCTGCTGTCAGTCCTGCGGGAGCCTGGCTCTGCTGGCCCTGCCCGGGCCCGAGTGTCATTATAGATGACTGCGCTGATCCGATCCTCTTCATCCACGCAGCTCCGTTGCACCTGCTCCAGCCCTGAGGCAGGCAGTACAGTGAGGACCCTGCCTGCCAGCATGACCCGGCGGCAGAACCCCAGAACCTGCCGGTGTGTCTGTGCTGCTGCTGCTGCCGCCTCTACTCTGGTCCCTGAGGCCTCACTCCATGAAACTGGACCCAGTATCTTAAAAGTTCTAAATAAGGAGGTTCTCAGAAAGTACAGGGTGAAGATGTATCAACAATTTTCGGGTTAAAACTGGAAGAGATGGGACACGATCCTGAACGCTTCATGGTTTTTTATGTTTTGTTTTGTGTTTAACCCTCAGTCCAAAATTCTATCCTAAAACCTAAAGACAACCCTCTTCTGTAGAAACTAAGTTTTCTTCTCTTTGCTCATATTGCCTGCTCCTGAGCTGCTCAGTATTACGCTAGATTTTTAAAAGCTGAAGGGGATTGAAAATCTCATGAAATAAACATAAGCACGGTTTGAGGGAAACTGGTAACGGCAGCCGTGGGTCCCCACTCTGAAAATAAAGTCCCATCAATCAGCAAACAAAGGAACAACACTACTTACGGGAGCCACCCACTCTTGTTCCCACCCACGTGGGAGAGTGATATTCTCTAGACCAGAGAGAATGTTCATATTAGCACATGACTTTTACCATTTCCAGAAAAAAACAAGTCAAAGCATATTTCATGCATTTATTATCCAAACTATGAGAAAGTGTCCAAAAGACAGAAGTGAATTGGCCCACATTGGTCATTTCCTTTCACGTACCTTAATTTTGTGACAAAGGAAATCCTAATTTCAGATAACTTTTCTTAAGAGATACAAATGTTAATTTCATCAAAGAGGGAAACTTATAATTCTTTGAAAATATTTCCAAGTGCATCAAATCATAGTTACCTTGAGCCCAGAAACCCCAGGAATCCCTTGAAGTCCAGGTTCACCTTTATTTCCCTGTCAATGCATCAAAACCATTTGAATTAAAAAAATGAGTCATAATTTATCTGATATAGACATTTACAGAAATATATTTAAAATAACGTTTAGCCCTAGCCAGTATTGCTCACTGGATAGAGCATCAGCCTGCACACTGAAGGGTCCTGGATTCAATTCTGGTCAAGGGCATGTACCTTGGTTGCAGGCTCGATGCCTGGCCCTGGTAGGGGGCTCATGTGGGAGGCAACAAATTGATGTGTCTCTCT